AACTCCTCCAATAACAGCGGATGCTGATGCCATGCAGGCCCTTATATCACAGGCAGCATGTCGCGACAGCCACCGTGACAGTGTTGTGGAGATGCATTGCTGAGGCCAAAAACGCCAGCGGATAGGCTAAAGTAAACTTCCCAAGGTCCCACTACAGTCCTTGGAGTCTTGGGAATTGACGACCATCCAGTTAAGTTCATTCGCTCCCTTTTGACCATATCCAGCACCGCGGCTATGACGGAATGGACAACTACTATGTAACGCGGAGTTCGACCCCGCCCCATCACTCCTCGACAGCACCAGCAACATGGAGATATCAAGACTTAAATAAATGTACAGTACAGTAACTACAGTACAGACATACATACATACATCTTAGCCTCTTTGGACAATCTCTAATGCGTTCGTGGGATCTTTTTGGGCCCACGATTTCACATTTGGGAACCCGAATGCCAGGCGGATTTGACACAGATATTGGCGCTGCTGTTGCCAAGGTTTTCGGGATTACATATGTTATTGCTTCGCAATCCCTTTGTGGAGAATCGGAGAGAAAGCTGAAAAGGGGCTGAAGCGGTGCCCTGTCGACCATCCTCACGTTCTGATGTATGAGGCAGATTCAGGTCAGCTCAAGACGGATACGAGGAAAGGGCACCAAGCATATATCCGAGATATGACCGCTTCATAGAGCTGCAACGGGATGAACAGGGTTTATAGAAACTCAGGTTGTCACAGGAAGAGGATCTGGCCCCCTGTCACCATTAGTATAGGCGGCGTTATTATATTAAACACGAGAACCCCACCTTTAACTAGCCTTTACTAGAACAGAGTTGAACTTTGGCACTTTTAACGGGCAAGTCACGTAATGCTCATGGTTAAGTTTACTAACTGTTAACGTTAACCTAGTTAGTTAGTTAGTTAATAGTTATAACCTTGTCTACCGACTTACATGTGTTGATAAACTTATAAAGAATTGATATGTACTTTTTTCATTCATGAGATTTTAAATACGGTAGATGTATTAAATAATTTATGAAGCTCAGTTAATACTACAATCATCTTTTATAAGTTGTAAATTGATAAATATGATAAATAGCAAACCGCTATTTAAACTTGATATACATTGTGTTATTATAATTACTGGTAAAATAAAACTAACTTTGATATCTCTACATTGAAGCTGGTGATAATTATAATGTGGAGAAAAAGAGATAAAATTTCATATGATCAAAAGATGATTTAATTTATTTTTTAAAGAAAAGAAAATAAATCTAAAGAGTAATTCTTCATTTGATTATTTCTAGCACTTAATAAGAATTTTCTCTTCTACTTCCGTCAAATGATATGAATTTTCAAGTAAAAATTACATGTGAGGAACAATGAACTGCAGGGATGAAATATCATACAGTCTTTCTTCAAGGTAATTTCTGTATCTTTAAGTAATGTACAATTAACTTTTCCTCTAGTTCTGGAGATTATTTTTATTTTGAATCTGATGGAATCCTGATGCATCAAAGTAGATTTGAGGAACTTGCGCCGTTTCAATATGGTTGATCCCGCTTTAGGTGGGTCCGCTCGGCTGGGAATTAGGTTATCCGTCATCTCCCAAAGCGGCAATCTTAACCACGGCTCTCAGCTAATTTTAACCGGCGCAGGCTTCTGTTTGACTTCATTCAAGTAAACTCTCCCAACTCTATAAATAAGCCAGCCAATGCTCCTCCTCGGTCGTCTCTATCATCTTCATCACCTTGCATCTCCGAGTTATGTATATATCTCCCGACTCTCTTTTCCTGTTTCTGCTGGATCTCGCTGGTTATTCCTGACCCTCTTTCGCCGCTCCACTGCTCCTCATGTCACTGCTGGGTAGATAGGGTGGGGCTTCCTACCACTTCATTCTCTTTGCTCAGCGTTGACGTTAATCAGTGGGGGGTCCATTTAGGGTTATCTATCTCTGGGAATTTCCGCAGTGGTGGTCCTTAGATTGTCTCTTTCGCTAGCGATCTTCGTGGAATTTCTGGCACTATGCCTGCTTCGCTGTTCACCCATCCAGCCCTCTCTCCTGAGAATCTCCAGACCATTGGGGAAGAACTCAGTTTACCACATCCGCCAACACCTGAAAATCACCAACAACAGCCCAATTCTGAACATGCTAGTCTTGAAGAATCAGAGTTGGATCCCGCGTCCTCATCTGCAGCTTCCGCATGCACTTTCACTGCTGTTTCACACTCCATACTTCGGGACTCTCTCCGGAAGCCTGACCCACTGAAATTGAACAACAATCAGATCGCGACTCGCAGTAACGACCAAAAGAAGGCTGGTGATGCACCCTCTGCTTCTTTCTCCTCTCAGCGGGAATTAGATCCTCCGCTTCCCGACACCCCGGCCCCCCTCGTCAGCCCAGCAAGATCCTTCTTGCGACATCGTAAAAACTCGCGATCAATTGACTCGATACCGTTCCAGACAATCATGAAAGCCCTCGCCTCAAAGGGAAACAGTTCTTCCGGTGCCTCACTCCCCCTTGCAGCATCTCTAGCTAGCCTTCTTTCACAATCCCGCAACGACGGAGCCAACAGTTCTTCCCGCAGACTCTCTGGAACTTTTCCCGGCTCGAGCGCATACCATGAAAGAACCCCCTCCACTGCTCGTTTTCCACTAAAATCTCCTTGCTTCTATCATCAGCGATTTGACGATGCGGTCAACATTGAAAAGGTTCTTGAGGAAATAGCTGCGGACGAGTGGATATCACATTCACGGTTGATGCAAACGGCCACCGGCGTTCGGGAAGTATCGAAGCAATTGCAGCGGCGCCCTATCAAATTGGCGGTCAAAAATGTAATGATTGTCACGAAAGCGCGCGATAATCGTCTGGTACACCTCACACGAGATTTGGCGGAATGGTTACTGAGCACACCGCGATATGGGAGTGATTTGGGGGTGAATGTTTATGTCGATCACAAATTGCAATGGTCGAAACGTTTCGACGCTCCAGGGCTTTTAGCGAAAGAGCCACGGTTTGAACATATGCTGAAGTACTGGACTCCAGACCTTTGCTGGTCATCACCAGAAACTTTCGACTTGGTCCTAACTTTAGGGGGAGACGGAACTGTCTTGTATACGTCTTGGCTATTTCAACGTGTTGTGCCTCCCGTCCTGTCGTTTTCATTAGGGAGCCTCGGATTTTTGACAAATTTCGAGTTCGACAAGTACCAGGAGCACCTAAATCAAATAATGGGTGACGTAGGTATGCGCGTGAACCTACGTATGAGATTCACTTGCACTGTCTACCGTATGGATCAGAGACATGGGCATCTGCCAGGAGCGGTTGTAGAGGGAGAGCAGTTCGAGGTGGTAAACGAGCTGGTTATTGACCGCGGACCTTCACCTTATGTCTCAAATCTCGAACTATATGGTGATAACGAGTTGTTGACAGTGGTTCAGGCGGACGGTTGTATATTCTCTACTCCTACAGGTATTTTATCCCGAACCTTCTGGTTTTCCCTGTTCCCACCAGACTAACGCTTTTTAGGATCGACTGCATACTCTCTCTCGGCTGGTGGATCTCTTGTCCATCCTTCCATTCCTGGAATTCTTCTTACACCCATATGCCCACACACCCTCTCATTTCGTCCCATGGTACTATCAGATGCTATGCTCCTGCGAATTGCCGTTCCCACAGCTTCCCGATCCACTGCCTACTGTTCCTTCGATGGTAAAGGCCGTATCGAGCTCTGTCAAGGCGACTACGTCACCGTCGAAGCGAGTCAGTACCCGTTCCCCACTGTGGTTGCGGGTGCGGGAGAATGGTTCGAAAGCGTCCGACGTGCGCTGCGCTGGAATGTTCGCGGGGCAGTCCAAAGGGGCTGGAACTGTGATACTGAAGGGCAATCAACTGCTCCTAGCGCTGAAGATGAAGAAGAGGAGCATTGGGATATCGACCCAGACACAACTACGCCGCTTGGGACGGGGACTGATAGCGGGTTGGGTCCAAGTGAGGATGGTGAAAGCCCTGGCCCTGACTCAATGAGTCCTCTTCGAAAACAGATGGGCTTGTTTAGTTTGTAGATATAGAATATCTTTGTGTGTCTTCTTTTCTGATATGCGTAACGGCCATGTTTGTTCGTTTTATCCTCCATTCTGATTATATTCCAGGGCGCTATTTATATTATTCCCATACACATACACAGTTTCCTGCATACACTTTTCTGCTCTATTCTGGAGAAGGGATTTCTGATATTTCCCCTTTAACCTCAGTTTCATCCCATTGCCATTGAAGATTTCAGACCCGGTGCATTCTCATGGGAATATATATTATGTTTCTCATGTTTAGTGAAACAATTAGAATAATCAACTGAGCTATCCTTGCACTCGAATTGTATGATTTTCGGATTTCCCGTTGTATCTCCCGCGTGTCAAAGAGAAGAACAAAAAAAGAAAAGAAAAGAAAAGAAAATGGTGCATCACTTCAGCGGTCACGCGAACTCTGCTCTGGGTCCAGCGACTATTAGTTGCCATGCAGCTCATTGCAAGGCCGTGCGCAGAACCACAATAGTTATTGCTTCCACTTTTTCCTAAACAGGGAAAAAGTCTATGCGTAAAAGTTCCAAATGCTTGAGCTCTAATTCCAATGATTTGTTTTGTAGCAAGGCACAAGAACCATTCTAGACAGCTCTTCCGTCTGAATGGATCTAGTTTTAGTCCAAGAGCTATCTTAAAAAGTTCATATTATTACAGTTACCTTATCCCTTGTATATCTATTATTATTAATATGTTCACCTGAGCAGAACTTTTTATTCCCAAGTTTGCCGTTATTTACGCTCAGGACCCTTCCTCTGTTAGGTCGCCGTAAAAAGCGGCATTCACACCCTGCTCCTTTGGCAGATCCTGTTTGACTCTCCGCGATTGTGTCCTCACCTGCAGCATGGACTATTCCTCTTTCGCCCCTTCATCTTCCCAAGAAGCAGTTATGGCTCACGGTCAACCATACCAGTTGTTCCTTTGCCAAACTATATGCCTAGTTTATAGTTCGATGAGATGAGGTCAGAATCCCCATCAACACCATTCCTGCTCCCAACAGATTTGCTCTTCCTATACCAAGTCAAATTCTTGGAAATTTCCGATTTGGGTCGATAGTAATAGCTCTCTGGGATGGATCCCGAATGCTTAATTTCTCTTTCGGCCCGAGCTTTCTATAGTTAGTTACTCATTGATCTTTCTCGGTTGGCAAAGTTTTGGATCGGACCAGAAACACAGCCACTTCCGCTCAGAAGCCAAGTTTGATGTCACAGCATAAAACTATAAACTTGCCTGAAACTTGAGAATATGTTATTCGAGTTCCGCACCTAGTCCTTTCCAATAAGCCGAAGCATGTCTCCAGGGCCCCGAAGCATGTGTATGAATGATAACAATACGCGGGCTCTTTGATCCTTCATGCATAAATCGATTTACGGTATTCTGGGTTAGAATACCAGGCATGGGGTTATCATGCGGAAGAGAATATTGGGAAATGGTGCAACCTCGTGTTGGTGGGGCGTATTTCCAATCTTGCCATGTAAAGGAAAATCCCCTCAATGTCGGACCAATTTTCGTAACAGCGGAAAGGGCCGAAAGAACGTGGGAATGATAAGATAATGCATTGGGAATTATGACGAAAAGGGTTATAATACGGGGATAGTTACATTCTTCGAATTAGATAGATAAGAATTTGGCACTAATTTTAGATATTGATAAGATAGATACGAAACTAGACGAAGCTCATAAAGAACCCAACTATCACAGGGACAAACGGTACAAATCAATGCGATTTATCCAATGAAATGAGGTAAACATACGGATGTATCACCAATCACAACCTTCAGCCAGGACTGCTGCTAGGTTTTCGAGTCCTTCTCTGTCCACTTCATCAAATCCAGATGGCACCGCGCAGTCAATGTCGATTAGAGCAACGGTCTGATGTGATTACAATATTAGCCTTCCCCGGTACGGTAGTGATTCGAACAAGGATCTCCATGGCTTCCTTCGATGTACAGAAAATATACCAAGATGTTCAAGGAGAGTAGGAACTCACCTCCGCATTTACCAAAATCGGGACAACGATTTCGCTTCTGCTCTCTGCATCACAGGCAATGTGGCCCTCCCAGTTGAGCACATCCGGTACCAGAACAGTCTCTCGTTTTTCAGCGGCCGTTCCGCATACCCCCCGCCCGAACTGAATTAACTGACATGCGGGCTTGCCATGAAAGGGACCCAGCAACAGAATTTTAGTGCTTAAAGATTCCTGGGTGTTCGTGGTGGAAGACGACCGTAGAGATGGGAATTTATCTTGCCGAACATAAAAACCCGCCCAGTTTACCGCGGATGAGGGCTCGGGGAGAGAGGCGAAAGCATGCCATAGCAGAGAAGCAACGTTGGCAAGATTGCTGGTAATGGTTGGCAGAAGTCAAATAGAATATATGTAATGCACCAATTAGCAATTAAGCTACACACCTTACCTGTTGTTTCCCCGTAGATTGATTGTTAGCTTTCTATGCTGTTCTCATTCCCATCCAAACAATTGGCCATTCCAATACTGCAATGAAGGCCTTTTTTTTTGTTTTGGGGGGGGGGGGGGGGGGGGGGGGGGGAGGTTAGGGAGTTAGAAGAGAATACCCAATTGCGCTGGCCATCCAACAAGACCTTTGCTTGCTCGAGAAGTTGGCTGTAAACCTCTGCCTTTGACAGGCCAGGTGCGAAATATGACGAATCTGCATGAGGCTATTTTGGATAAATGTCAGAAGCTGCGAAGCTACATGCAAGATGAGCGGGATTTAAGGTCACAAATACCATAACGTTACGATTTTAAGCTGCAGCGCAGAAATATGAGCTTATGTTATGGAATAAAGGAGAAGGTATATAACTACAACGAAAGGAGTGAGAAAAATATATGCTGCGCATCAGAATGAAATATCAGAAGAATTGGGGAGAATGAACTGGTGATTTATAAGGGTGTTTGCTTCTAGTCAACTAGTTAGTTGGTACCTTGTTACTTAACCAGGGTTTCGGTGACGTTATGCATTTCATCAACGTTTAAAGTCCAACCTCAAAATCACTTCTCCAAATGATAACTATATATTTTAATATTCCCATTCCAAGTGACTTACATAAACCTCTTGGTCTCTCCAAAGGTTTTTAAGTGTGTTGTATCATCGCCTTACTCTCTTTGTGCCTAAGATTGATAGTTATGTCAGGTTTTCTTGACAGCAACGCAGATTCGAACTGCGGACATATCGGGAAATTAGATTATTGACAAATCTCCGCTTGGAGAGCCGATATTCTCTCCCAAACTGACTTGTTACTCGCTGCGGTTATTCGCTGCGTGCCGCATGGGGGTCCTCCGCGACAGTAACAGCGATTGCCAGAGTTGCACAGGCTCTAGATAATCGTCGGGGTTCAATGCTTGAGTTAAAATACAACCTATGACTGGGTGAAAAAAATAAATTCTTCAGGCCCCTGGATCAGGATGCGCTTCTCATGTCTTTTCCTGTTCTCGATTTTCACCGAACTGAACAATGCCGCGGATATTATATTTCCTTTAGTTGCGGGCTATTTACGATGCAACTGCTCAATCACCGCTGGGGGCTGGATGATACTATTGATACCGTCTCTGGTAGTCAGTTCTCAGGATTGATGATATTCGCAAATATTCCGTGCGTTAATTGCTTCGTGGACCTTGAAGTAGAGAAGCATTGATATGATATTGCTTTCTTAGGGGCACCCTTCGACACGGTATACCCAGTCCTGTATATCCAGCATGCACGATTCTCCCTGTCAGTCCCGTCTTGATCTAACAAGTCAATTGAGCCTCCTTAACACTGGGTATTACCTATCGATTCTCCATGAGAGATATAGGGTGTAAATGCCCGTCCTTGGGCAAGATAATGTCCTAGAGGGATCCACCAGGGTTCGCGACGCACAAGACCAATAGTGCCTGGAGCGTCTATACGGGTAAGAACGTTTTCCCTGATTTGGCAAGCATATGTTGATTGTGGCGATGCTCCTTTGACATTTTTGGATTATGCCATCGCTTTGAAGCAGCTTGATAAGGCGCACAATGTGAGGTCATTTCACTGAATCGGGTATTTTCACGGAGCCTTTTTTGTATCTGCATTTAAATGCCATCATTATAAATGCGATGTTATGTGCCTCCGAGATATAAGTGAGAAATTCTCAAGTAGTTCACCGTATTCCAGTTGTTTTGCTTTTAACCCCACGGTTATTTTCCCCAGGTATACCACCCCGACCTGCCGACCCGCCTAATGTTTCGAATACCTTGCATCATGCCCCTTGTCGGTGATCATGCGACAACGCTACCTGCCCTGCGATCAACACATAAAGGTTAGGGCCCGGTATCCGTAATGCATTTTGATAGACATATCGGTTGGTATTTCCCTGACTCCTGTGGGTTTCGATATGAATCGGGCTTATCCACGGTGTGTGCCGGGAGGTGCAAAAAAGAAAACTATCGCCAAATTTAAATTGAAATGCAATTGAACCAAAAGCAGAATTTAAACCGAGAGCCAAACCAGCCATTTCAACCCTGGTAGATGGTAACTAACTAGTTAGTGACGCCTCAATGAATTGGGTTTGCAACTAATCGTGCCTCCGCTCACCCACACCTGATGTGGGTGCGCCACAGCGTAACGATAAAAACAGCGTAATGATAAAAATATGGATAATTAGAACTTCAAAATTTAATATCTCATCACCACGCTGCTAATCTATGATAATTAATTTATCTATATCATCCGTAGTAGCTGTATTATTCGCGAGATGTTTATATATATCATTAACCTCTGTTGAGTTAGATCCATGGCATATTTCTTCAAAGCTCTCTTAACATGTTTAACTCCCTTATAACATTCTTTTTCTGCTTCCTCCTCTTTATGTTGCATGATCTTTCTATTTGCATCTCTACAGTGAGTATACCTCCTACTTGAACCTGCTGATATGCATTTTTAGTACTATGATGTTTGATTGCAAGATAGTAACTCTCAATTTCACTCTCTCTTATAGTATTGAGTTTTGTCTGAACAAGACTGTCTTGGAAAATCTTGTTCAATCAATTGCTCAGATGAGGTGATTTGAAATCAAGTATATTCTTCATATCTTGCATTGTCTTCTTTGCCATCCAAATATAATGTTGTAGCTTCTTGATTGTCTTGAATAAGAATAACTGTGATGAAGCAGTATCTGAACAGCTTGATTGCAGTGAAAAGAAGTCTTCTTCATATATTTGCAACTCAGAGTAGTCAGAGATCTTTGAATCTAGCTTAAGCAGTATAGATTGTGAGTTGAATGGGACAATATCATGATTCACAAAGTCAGTCTGAATAGTAGAAGGTTGAAAAGTCTTTTTGCAGACATCAACTAGATTCTGTAGAAATTGACATTTTTCATACTGCTCTTATTCATATCACACAGCTTGATTAACTGTCTTTGAATGATAGTGCTTATACTGCTGAAAAGACACATCATCTAGAGATTGCAGTATATGAGTTGAATGTGAAGAAAATTCATATAGAATAATTTTGTGAAGATCACAATATTGTAGAAATTCTTCAGTGAGATAAAATTCATGATTGTCAAAAAGCAGCAATTGATGACTGTCTTGCTGACATTTTTTAGAGATTTTATTAAAGTGCTGAATTCATGCAAAGTCAATCTCATCATTGATATAGTCAGTATCTGATATCACAATTGTATATCTGTCTGATAAGTTGCTTTGTGTATATCAATCTTCAAGTTGAATTTTGAATTTCATGATGATGAAGAGATTCAATACCTCATCATCTGCTGAAATACACTCAATCACAGTGATCAATTCTCAAGAATATGATGAAGTTATAACTGAATTAAAGTCTTTAAAAGCAGTAATAACTCATTCTTCATGTTCTTGACCCTCTTGAAAGCCAATTTCATTGAAGTTGTAGATATTGCAGATTTGAAACATGTACTTTTGAAGCAAGATTTTCAAATAATCAAATCACATCTTGATGTAGCTAATATTCTCAACAGCAATTCTTTTGAGATTCATTGTCTTCTGCTTAACCCTTTTATACTCATTCAAGCTTTGTATATATTGATAGGTCCACATCTTGCTGACCACAGATAGGGAGGTTGAAGAATCAATATGATGATGTTTAAGAATGAGATTCACATTATCTTAAATCTGCTCTGCAGTCAGCAGACAATTATTTCTGTCCATATGAGCTATTCACTCTTTTAACACATTCTTCTGGCTCTTGCTAAGCTTCTTGTTTAGTGCAGTCTTTACATTGTGTGTTTTTCTTTCATTAATTCTTGCTTGAAGATGTTGATAAGAAACATTGAATTTGCATACCAGAGGTAGGATTTTCTGTTTTCAATTGTCATTATAGACTTCAATGGCACTCTGAATACATTTTCCAAGATCATCTATCTTATTGGTCATGGTGGTGGTGATATATTAATATTTGAAGATTGACTAATAAAGAAGTTGATATTTTTATCATTCCACTGTTTTTATCATTACGCTGTGGCGCACCCACATCAGGTGTGGGTGCGCGGGGCACGATTAGTTACCTGTCTGAGATGTTCTTCCGTGTTTAGCCCACATCACAAACAGTCCTTTTCAAATTGAAAGGACTGAGAAAGCTACCTTTTCAGGGGATTGTCTTCCACTTCTTATTTTAAACAGCAGAATTACAGGAATAATGGACTAGGGTCAACTCTCCGGAAAACTCGAACAGCAGTAGTTGACTTATTTCACTTTAGATCGTTACACGCTCTGTGGCCCCAGATCTTTCTTACGAGTTATCCGAGGCTATCAAAAACGGCATACTTCAAACACACAAGAAAGAAAGAGAAATGGTGCATTGCAAGTGTGGAACCGGTCGAGATATGCTCTCTTACAACCATTGTGTGAACAGACATTTCAAGCACAAGAGAAAGAATACTGATAGTGCGAAAATTCAATATAAAATACCATCGTTATATGGGGTGGAGAATAACACAGGACAAAAAGAGAAACATTGGGGTAAACAAAGTAAGTAGAAAATTCGACTCTTGACTGAATATTTATAGTAGGAACGGAACGAAGAAAGACACACCCGGAACAGCAAATGGAGACAGAAAGTTAGGGGCTCAGGTAAAAGCCAAAGTGAGTATTACCTGATTCAGACCACGATCAATGAAACGCCAAAGAGCGTAGACGTTCCAACAACAATGGAACATAAAGGAAAGCAGATAAGATCTTGGGGGGCTCAAGGCCAGCAGCAGCGCTTTGAGTTCTTAAGGCAAAGAGTTGACCTGCCTTCACGCCATTGGTGCCAGATCCAGGGCCAGGTGATCCAGAGCTAGCGGTCTGGCTACCATTACCGGCACCTTGCAAGAGGTATATTTTGGCACCGTCAGGCATGGCTGGAAGAGCCTCGTCACCGACATACCAGTTGGGACCGTCCTTCTTGGGGCAAGGGTTTGCACCGCCAGTTTTGTTGAATCCGCCATCACCGGATGGGCTCTTTGCGTTAGCAAATGCTTCCTTCAGTTTGTCGAACTCAGGGAGTTTTGTTAGCTTGCCGTCCTTGATTTGGACCAGGCCAATGCTATTAGGCTCCTGGGAGTATTCGTAGACGAGACCGCCAGAGTAGACACTTGTCACGTTGCTGGAGTACAAAGCCGTCACTTCGTTCCAGTTGTGCTCACTCCTATTGCAGCCGTACTCTGAGAGGAAAAGGGGGATTCCGTAGCCGGTGAAAGCTTGGACTTTCTTGTCCCAGCTGGAATTTTCAAAGGAAGATGGATCGCACCAGGAGTAATCGTTGAAAGCGAAAAAGTCGCTGCGCTCATCGTCAGAACCACAGTTCATATAATGTGCCAGGTGGACACGGTTGGTATCGACATCAGCCTATTAACAAGTAACATCGTGAGCTGACCATAGTCCCCCTATATCTACTTAATTTACGCTTAAAAAGGTATACAATTAATACCGCAGAATATCCGACGGGGATATCTCTCATATTTCGTGAGTGGAGAAAATTGTGAATATCACGTGTGACCGCCTTGACATAAGGGGCAGCCATTGATGAATTACCATCGTTAAGGACCTCGTTTCCGGAGAAGAAAGCCTGTGATCGGTGTTAGCAAGGAGATGATGATATATAGGAAATTCGATGCAATTCGACGTGGTCTAGAATACCAGGGTGTTGTCATATTTGGCAAACATTTCGACCGTCGCAAAGACATTTTGGAGGTAGGCGGCATTATACGAATTATTAGGATCTATAAATAAAAAAAAGAGTGAGAAAAAGCACAATGTTATGCAAATAATGTGAAGTGCTTCTGCGTCATATAAGGTGTCAAGACGTACCAGTTCTGTTGATAGAGTATTTAGGGGTGTTGACATCAAGGGCAAGGTAGATGCCAGCGTCAGCGAGTGCTTCCATGCATTCATCGTGGTTTATGCTGTTGTCAACGCTGTAAACACGGATGGTGTTCACGCCCAATTCCTTGAATTTGGCAATGTCCCGTTTGCAAAGTCTGGGCTCAGCGATTGGGTCCTTGAGATTGGATGGCCATCCCTGAAAAGAAGTTCAGCAACCTTTCCCCTATACGTATGGGCAAGATCCTGCTCAACGGATCACTAACTGGTTGATAATCTCTATATCCAACACATCCAATTACCAATTGTTATTTAGAAGAAAACTGAATAGAGAAATTCTTCATATATAAAAAAGGGGTTGAACTAGACTTACACTCCGCGCAAGTAGAAACGCTCCTTGCCATTCCAGAATGCTGGGAAATAGAGAACAACAGTTATTAAACTTTCATTGAGCCATTCTCATAGAATAAAGGCTCAAGGCTCACCATTTCCTTTAACTGTGACAGGAGTGATCTTGTTCGTTCTAGACTTGATGATGCTGGCCTCGCCAGTAAGAGCAGATGAGGCGAGCACTGCCGCGGATAACGCAGACGCAGCTATGGCTTTCATGATGTAATGCAGGGGTATATTAAATCAGAAGTCAGATATTCGATTTATGAGTAGGGCCCGTAGATATCATAAGAAAGAACGACGAATTCCCCTTAAGGAGATGAAAAGAGACAAGAACATTGTTAAGGTGTCTTCCCGAACGAGGCGAAAGGAGAGATAAATAGAAGACACCTTGAAGAGATATTAACCCTGAAATGAAAGACATTCTAAACTTGCATCTCTCCTGAAGAGAGATGCAAGAGCAGGTGAAATTGCAACAGAGGGGAAAATGAGAAATGAATGCACTTCAAAGTGGATCATTCTATTGTAAGAAAGGACGCACAGCTTCCAAAGCAGGGCAGGCAAACAACGTAGCGGCATCATATTTCAAGGTCATCATTATTACCAAGAACTCGAACCACAAGGACGGAATTCCTCTGTGGCAGAGAGACTCGAGATACGAGCTGCTACCCTGGAGTAAAGCTTGTTGAGAGGGGATGGTTTTTCACATTGCCTGTTAGGGTCGCCACTGTAAAGTCGTTTTTGCCATCCCACCCCCCTTCCCCCTCCCCCGGAACTTATACCCCAAGCCCCCTAAAAGATGGGCAGAGCAACGCTGGGTTCAGGTACCCCAAGCCCCTAGACCAGAGCCTAAGTTGGCAACGTTCAGCAGCAACCACATATTGTTAGCTTCGCCACCATGCCATGCAGAGGCTGACTCGACTTTTAAAGCCTCAACTCCACTCCGCGTTAACTATTAGTTATCCAGAGCCACAGTTGCAACGGAACACAACCATGAAGATATCAACAATTTATCTGATTCCCCTCACATCTCGTATTTCGATTGAAAGCTTCCTCGAAGATCCAGTAGCCACCACCTCCATCAGGCTCAGAAGTTTTCCACTGTCGAGGAAATGATTACTCAGCGTTAAATCGACGGTAACTAGCCACCACGCGACCCCGATCCCATCTTCTCCGAGAGATCTCAGCCACTGGCGTTAAAGCCTAACGTGACTTACCACTAAACGAGCTGTGTTTTTGCGACGCGCTGCAATTTAATTCTTCAACTTCCACTGCTTTGAGATGCCAAATGAAGAAGCTATTCAACTTGCAATTAAGGATTTAAGAGCTCAAAAGGTCAAAAATTATGTTGCAATTGCTAGGAAGCACTCAATTAATAAGGAAACACTGTGCCAGTGTTATAACAGCTTGCAACTTGTGCAGGATGAAGTAGCCTCCCAACAGAAGAAGAAGCTCTCAAATCAGCAAGAACAAATGCTTCTGCTTCATATAGAGAAGCTTGCAGCTCGCAGCTTTGCTCCTACACCTCAAATCATTTGAAATCTCATTGCAGAAATCACCAAAGAACCTGTTGAAATCCACTGGGTGAGGCACTTTACTGAGTGCTATAAGGCTCAAATTCAAAGAATTCATGTCCATGGCATTGATCAAAAACACAAGATAGCAGATAATTCTACTCATTTTGAGCATTATTTCCAGCTAGTATTTTGATCTTTTGCTTGTTTTCTTGCACTAAGTTCTCTATAGACTCTTGCTAACTATTTTGCTGTGTGACTACATAGTTGAATGAGAAGATTGAAAAATACAATATTGAGTCATCAAATATCTACAATTTTGATGAAAAGGGCTTCTTAATTGGCATCAGTCAGACTACTAAGTGGATCATTCCAGTTGAAGCTCTGAAGGCAAAGTGAATTTCTGCAGTTCAAGATGGCAGCTGTGAATTCATCTCTCTACTCACAGCAATATGTGCAGACAGAACAGCTCTTCCACCCACTCTTATTTATCAAGAAGAGTCTTGTGATATGTTGAATACATGACTAGAGGATCTGAATGAGAATAATACAGCTTATTTTGCAGTTTCTGAGAAAGATTGAAGTAATGATGACTATGGGCTTAACTGGCTGAAGTGGATCTTTGATGAGCACATCAAGACTAAAGCAGATCATGAAAGACATCTTCTTATCCTAGATGAGCACTTGTCTCATGTCAATATGAGAATTATTGATTTCACAGATCAAAATCAAATCCTTCTTGCAGTACTGTCTTCACATTCAACTCACTGACTGCAATCTTTGAATGTTGACATCTTTAGTCCTCTAGCAGAAGCATACTCTTGCAGTGTCAATAACCTTCTTTGCAGTGGATTTGAATTCATTCAAATGATAAAAAGAAGCTTTTTATCTGTCTTCAATTCCACATGGGATCAGTCTTTAATGACTAAGAATATTCAATCTGCATTTGCTGCCACTGATATTCATTCTTTTACTTCTGAGTATGTTCTTCACTGATTTACAAAACAGTCTATATCTCCAGTCAATTCAGCTTCAACTGAGATTACTACATCTACAACTACCCATGCTCTTCAACATGATATTAAGAGAATTTGAATTTGGCAGAGCCTGCTCTCTAAAGACATGGAAAAGATTGTACATGCTAGTGAGAAGCTTGTCTTTGAAAAGAAGGTGCTTGTGCATGAGAATAAGGCTCTAATTAAAGCTTTATGCAATGAAAAGAAGCAATGACAGTGTGGAAAGTCCTTAGGTCTATTGAATCCAGAGCAGCAGCCTGGCCAGACTCAATTCTTCTCACCATCCAAGGTTCAACAAGCTCTTGAGAGGATTCAGGAAGCAGATTGTGAAAAAGAGGAGAAAGCTTCTCAACAAACCCAAGAGCAACTTCAATGTGATCTCTGAAAAGCACATGAAGCTGAAGAGGCTTAGCAAAAACAAATTGAACAACAAGCAGCTCAGGCAGCAGCTCACAAAGCCTGTGAGGAAGAGAGGGCTAGAAAGGCAGAGCATCACAAAGCTCAGCAGCTTGCTAGAGAGGCTAAAAGGGCTCAGCTTGAAGCTGAGAAGCAAGAACAGGCTAGTACTTGCACTGCAAAGCAAAAATCAGTCAGTTCAACTACAGCTGCTTCAAAGTGACAGCAGAAGCAGGCGCCTACAGTGGATTCTAATCCTTTAAACCCTATCCAACCTTCCAGTCTAGGAAATGAGGTCAACCTCAATCCCCCAGAGCAGCTTACTGCTGCTTCTACTACTAATTCAGAAATTGACACTCCTTTGAACAATCTCCTTACTCCATGCCGGGTCTCCCATCATGGCCGCGTTCTTCGGCCAAGCACACATCTATTTTATTAAACCACCTATTTTGTATGGAACTAGAGAATACTCTCATTACTATTTAATAATCTAATTAATATTTATTTCATTGTTGTGGAATTAATTAGATTCTAGCAAGTTGAGGCAGTTTTGCTGAGAGCGGCTCGTTTAGTGATATGGCTCGTTTAGTGGTAAGTCACATTATGACTTGCAGTTTGTTGCTGGCTAGACAGCGGTTAACCACATCCATTACCATAAACCTTGGCTTTTTGAAGTTATAAACTTGCAATTGCCTCTCCTATTGCCTCACCTTCTACAGGTGGGGATTTTACGGTCACAAGAGTTACGAGATGTAACTAGTAGTTATAGATTTCTGGTACGGAGTATCCTGCCACATAAATTGATCGATTTACGACGACTCCCTTTGAACGTATCAGAGCTTGAAGTGAAAGCATGTGTGCATCATATGGGCTGTGCAGATAGTTTGAAACGTCCTTCCTGGCATAAACATGTATTTGCGTGTGTAGATACGGGGGTCAGATTGGATATTACAACCACGCAAAGTTCGAAAACGACTGCACGCTGACCAATACAGAATAAGACACCGGACAGCGGAATCCTCCACAGAATAAAATAGCGCTCAACGACTATATCTACACCTCCTCAATATAATTCGCAGGTACACTCTTCGTCTGTCCCCCCTTCTCAACATCAGACCACCCATTCCCACTATCGCGATTCACAAGCACGAATCTATCCCCCTCCTCCATGCTCCATTCTGCATCACTGCGCGCTTCGTAGGCATATAGTGCAACCACATATTGTAACTTTTTAGCTCCACGCTTGGGTGTCACGGCGGGGCCGCGACGTTTGCCCGCAGCAGCACTGCCCGCTAGTGAGGCGCTGGAGGTAGAGTATGAAGATCCCGGGCGCTTGGGGAGGTTGGGGCTAGTTGATACGGAGGAATACGGTGTTGAGATAGTTTCCACGTAGGAGGCAGGAACGAGGCCGGAACGGGTTCCTTCACGTACGCGCATCCAGCCGGATCCGTCTATCATGGTATGCAGTGTGAGAAGACTTGTGATTAGGGGGAGATCGGATGTGGTAACGGGTGGGGAGAAAAGGCATAACTGGTTACATACCATCTGGTTCGACAATAATAACCTCCCGGCCTTCCCCAACTGTAATTTCGTCCTCACCGTTGGCGTCGTACGGGTATAGCATTTTTCCTCTTGGTTCGTTTGACTTCGGAGAAAAGCTAGCCCGGCCACCGGACTCTCCTTCTTCCGATGGTGGAGGAGGCACACTGACATACTGTGCTGGAGGAGGAGCAACAATCCTGTTCCTCCGGGCTCCTGCAGAGGGTTTTGTCGCGGGTTTAGTAGCAGCCGGAAAAGATTCAGGAACCTCTACCGCTCCTGCTTCAGTTGCTTGCCGGGTTAAGACAACAGATGTCGAGCGAGCCGTGCTGGCAGCATATCCCGAGCTTAAAGAGTTCATGGTATCTCTGCGGCTCAATGCTGGTGGTTCAGAAGCTCCATTTGGTGACTTCGGGAGATCAATTGCAGCTCCTGAGCCAGCAGCTTCTTGTCGTTCAATCTTCAGCTTCTTTTTCTCCTCTTTATTCTGTTCACCCGGACATTCTGCTGGCACTTTCATTTCACATTTACTATGACAAGTGTAGCCACAATCTCGACAGTCGAACCCCTTAGCGGATAAGCCCCAGATCCTCTCACCGCATAGATCACAATTTGTGGGAATTTTAAATGTTTGTGATCGAAAATTATGGCTCCTTGCCCCAAAGGATAAATCACCGACAACGGATGTGATAGTGGAAGTTTCAACCTCTGCTGTCAATCGTTTGCGGTCCAAAAGGTGAAGGTCCTCTTGCATGGCAAATATGGACCGAACAACTTCTGCTTCATCTCTCTTATCCTTACCGTCACGGACGCTCTGCCGTGTCCTTTTTGCCTTTTCGACCTCTCTCCGCTTCTTATCTGCCTCCACCTTTAGTTCTTTCGCCTGGGCTTTGCTTCTTGTCAGTATGTTTTGAAGAAAGACCTTCGCCGTCTCGTCTGTGACCATGGTAGCATCGTCATGCCATATAGGGCTTGGTTCAAATTGTATATCGGCAGGATCCTGCCAATTTGACATGTTGTGCCGAACGAACATCGTAGAATCGAGTCTAGGTTCGTTCCGCGGAATTTCAGAAATGAGATGGGTAATATGCTCCTCAGACTTGGCCAGTGTCGATTTTTCCAGCTGGGCAGCCAGCAGCCAAATCGAATTTAATTTCGCAACCCTGGTTTCATTGAGATCTTGTAATCCCTATCATGAAAGTGGTTATTGAAAATTGCCTTTAGGCAAAGATGATAAGGGTTGACCATACATTAAGCAATTCCGGGACATACTCATAATAGTATTTCTCTTTCAGTTTGTTGGTTACGTTTATAGAAATCAAATAGGTGTTCTGTAGTTAATTAGTGGGAAGGAGCCCATGTTCCCGGAATGAATGCCATACCTTCACGTTATTCATTTCAAGAATCTGCTGTTGGTATGCAACCTGCGCCTTGTGTTTTCCGTGATCGAATGCAGATTCAGTCTTCTTCCGTCGGTTTTCTACTTCTTGGCAGGCCCCATCATATCTACCTTTTACCTTCTTCAAATCACTATAGGTGGCTTCTTGTTCCTTCTCCAGCTTGCTGGCATACTCAGCATGATTTCTTCGGAGCTCTTCGAACCGTGCTGCAGCCTGTTTGAGGGGCTCTGCGACTTGATAGACCAAATCTGAGCCAAAACGATCTCGTTCTGCAGCCTCCGCCTCAATAGCCGTGAGCTGAGTAGACCAGGTAGTCAATGACGCACATTCTAGGGAACCCGGTGTTAGTGTTGGGGTATCCCCAACGCTCAGGCTACTCGACTTCTTTGCCTTGCGCTCATGGTATTTCCGACATAATGCTGTAAGTTTCGTGGCATATTCCTTCTCGATTGCACTTCGTTCACGGTAGAACTGCTGGATCTCATCCAGCCATCCAATGCCGTTCGAGACCTTAAAAACCCTTAACTTAACATCCTGGCCACAGAGCTTATTTCATGGTGTTTACAAGCACTGGTGTCTGCTGATAAGAAACGGAGTACGGGAAATGAGGGTGAAGATATGAGGGAGAGAAAAGGCGTACCCAAGCATTGATGGGTTTGAAAGCGTCCTATACAAGAGGAGAGGTTAGATTACAATGTCAATAAAAGGATGTAAACCAGAAATATACCTTCAATTCAGACCCAAACTGCACAGAAGAATCCACATCCGCCATTGTTATCCAGCCCCATGCACGGTGGTGCGCAGTCTCCCAGGCACCTTAGTCGAGAGCACAATTCCAGAGACCAGCTTGGGCACGCATGAAAAGGAAACCACAGTTTTGCAGTGTATACCTGAACAGCATGTCAGTCAAACGCAGTATCAGCATTCATTGATAACCATTAATGCCAACATTGAAGTTAGCAAGTTGAAATCTCATGAGTATCCCACCAAGCCTACGACCGAGTCACGATCCACTTAACCAACATCCAAGCCCCAATAATCACCAACTCTCACCGGATGGACTAGACCTTTTTAGGACTAGTGGTGTTCTAGAAAAGTGACAGCGACGGCAAATGACGAGCTAGTCTTGTTTGGGCATATGCCAAGCCGCCAATACAAAAATGAAATAGCCCCCATCTGCCTGTTGATGACTCAGCAAGGTAGCGACTCGAACAAGCTTCCAACAACAAGATGCTGACTTTTTGCGATGGTTATTTATCTTCACGACCTGACGGCAACGGTGAAGAAACAACAAATTTGTTGTGATTCACCCGAGTTTTCTTGCGAACAATTGTTCTGATCCCTCCATAGCGACGCTGGTTTCCCGCCGCCTTCGTCTGAGAAAATTATCCCTCGTTCGATTCACCCCTTCCAACCACTCTCAATACCCCTCCCTTAAATTTTTATACGTCCATCCAAGCTTCCGGCCACCTACATTCACATTTTTATTCCACTTTTTCATACTTTATATACGATCGCGATTTACTATAGCCCATTTTCAGCGCAAAGATGGCGTCGGAAACACCCGCCGGCGGTCGGCTTGAGGATCGCATTTCTCGAGAAGAGCCCAAATCGGATTCTGCTGCCACATCTGCTCTTTCCGGTAATTTTTACTATACATCCTGCTTCTTGATGCAAAGCAGAATCCCTTAGACTCTCTTTGCATACCTTTCAACAGTGTTGCTGATTATGCGAAACAGAGTCTACCCCTACAAACCAATTAGCTGCTACGGAGGCCACAGTTGCGGGTGCCCAAACCGATGGAGCTTCCGCAGACTTTGGAGGATCTCAGCTGCAGGAGCCAAACTACTCAGTCAATGTTAAGCTGAGTGACCTGCAAGCTGACCCAAATAATCCACTATACTCAATTAAAAGTTTTGAGGAACTTGGGCTGTAAGCCATCGTCCTTCTTCCCCCATTCGAATTAGTTCTCCCGGAGCTTATCATTACCCAAAATATAGCCATAAATCTATCCTCGAAGGTCTCCATGCCATGAGCTTCCGTCGACCGTCTAAAATCCAGGAGAAAGCTCTACCACTTCTCCTAAATAATCCCCCCGCCAACATGATTGGGCAATCGCAATCAGGTACAGGGAAGACTGCTGCATTCGTCCTAAATATATTATCTCGCCTTGACCTGTCTCCACAAATGGAGCTTGTGCCACAGGCTTTAGTACTCGCACCCAGTCGTGAGTTGGCCCGCCAAATTGTCGGGGTCATTCAGGTTATGGGCTCTTATGTCGAAAAGTTAAAGGTCGCTACGGCCGTCCCTATGGAGTCCAATCGCAATCAGAAAATGGAAGCTCCTGTTGTGGTGGGCACCCCAGGAACCGTGATGGATCTCATCCGGAAAAAGTTATTTAATACCCAACATTTGAAAGTGCTCGTGCTGGACGAAGCAGATAACATGCTTGACCAACAAGGCTTGGGTGATCAGTGTATTAGGGTTAAAGGGTAACCTCCCTGTTATAATTCCATATTCTTGATATTCCCTTGTAGCTAACATCGTTACAGACTACTTCCAAGAACTGTTCAGGTTGTGCTCTTTTCAGCCACTTTCCCTGACCACGTTGTTCGTTACGCCAACAAATTTGCCCCAAATGCCAACCAGATCACTCTCAAACATGAAGAGTTGACGGTTGAGGGCATTAAGCAGCTCTACCTTGACTGTGACTCGGATGAGCATAAGTTCGATATTCTAGTGAAGTTCTATGGCCTTCTTACCATTGGGTCTTCCATCATATTTGTGAAGGTAACAAATAATTCCGAATGCGGATAATTATGTCCCCAGACTAACAGCGAACCACAGACCCGGGCCTCAGCAGCTGAGATCGAACGACGAATGGTAGCCGAAGGGCACACCGTAGCGTCCTTGACTGGTGGTGTTGAAGGGCAGAAACGTGATGAGATCATTGACAAGTTCCGTCAGGGTGAAGCTAAAGTTCTCATTACCACCAATGTCCTGGCTCGAGGAATCGATGTGCAGACCGTATCGATGGTCATCAACTATGTATGTTCAATCTTCCCAGAAAAACGCGACTTGAGACCCTCCACCCTTTTAACTAATCTTTCACACAACAAAATGGTAGGATATTCCCGAGCTCCACGCTCCACAAGCCACCAAGCGTATCGCTGATGCCCAGACATACCTGCACCGTATCGGTCGTACCGGACGCTTTGGTCGTGTTGGTGTAGCCGTTTCCTTCGTTGCCAGTAAGGAAGAATGGCAAATGCTGCAGGACATCAAGAGCTATTTCAACACCGATATCCAGCGGGTGGACACTCGCGATTGGGATGAGGTCGAGGCCGTGGTGAAGACAATTATCCGCAGTTCCAGGGCTGGAACCAACTTCAATGCGCTTAACTCCCAAAAGGAGGCTAAATGAAAGAAACCTTGCAACCTACCAATATCCCTTCTTCTCCATTTCCGCATACCTTTGCAGCGATATTGGCTCCATTGTGGCACCAAGCCAAACTAAGCAGAATCATGATTCACGTTTTATTATTATGTGATGATTACCATGCCCAAAAATTTTGCAAAATCCGACAAGAAAGACATCTTTTTTTTTTATACCATGAACAACCCTGTTTTTTCGACCTACAAATTCGGCTGAACTAATTTTCGTGTGCTTTATTTCCGAAAGTTTCCTTCTATTTTGCCCTGTGAGACGAATCAATGAACAATTCTTCCCTCCCAAAATACCGAGCACATTGACCAATTTTATATCCCATGAATTTCTCGCATTTTCTTGCTTGGGTGGTGCACTAGACACTGTTTTTCACCTCACTTTTACACATCTTTTTACAGATATCAAAATCGTTTTCTTTTTTGGTCTGTGGTACAAGAGTGAAAATTGAAGTTCGGGAGATGAGAAGGAAATAAACGATTAAAAAGATGGTAAATGATTCTACTGATTTGATGTCTTGTTTACGCGTGCTGGAACAAAACCGGAGAAGTTAAAATAGATTTGGGCGAATGTTTTGCTCCCACGACTTACGAAGAGGCTTTCCACTCCATCATTCGTATCCAAAATGCAAAAAATTCGTTTATGTTTTGCTTCTGCCAATGCACAACATCATCGTGTCTCTTACCGTGTCCAGAGAAGACTAGTGTGAGCCAGTTCTCGCCGTCAATGGACTGCAAGTGTCGCAAATCTAAATATTTCTAAAACAGATCAATCATTGATAACAAAATCGTCAATTTCGTCTACTGTAATTAGTATAATTAGTATCGATCCCAACAACCTGCATTGACCACGCAGCTTGAGTTGCTATCGAATTACGAGGGAAACTAAAGGAGACTTTGAAGGCTTCTCGGTGGCCTTCTTGGGCTGCCGTTGTCAATTGTTGTGACAAAAAAAAAAAAAAAAAAAAAAAAAAAAAAAAAAAAAAAGGGCGGATAATGCTCTTGAGCCATTGTCTCCTTCAAAATATCCCCTAAAGCTTCTTGATGTCTCTTATGGTGCTGACAGAAGACCGTTAGCTACATGGCTATGATTGCTTTCCTCGAGGGATACCCATTACATCCAGCTGCGTACGCTTTATCGACGCTCAAAATCCATGGGTTTATATACACAACTCAAGGGTGCCGCTGAGACTGCTGCGTTGGAACTAGGGGGTTGATGGGTTGTATATAATGAATTGAGAGGCTTTCTGAAAGACAAATCCACGTTGTAGACGGCGTTGTGGAAGGGGGAATATAGTGCGAATAGTTTCTGCATTTTTTATGGCAGTCGAGGAAGAGGTTTGTTGGCTGGATAAAGAACATATGAATACACTCTATAAATTAGAGCCATCTTGAGTAAAAATTGGCTTTCTGCCAGCAGAGCAGCTCTTCCTAACCAACATCACCACCCAATCTCCGAGCAGGAATACCAAGGTCTTTAAACTTGACGGGGTTCACCAAGTTAGCAGAGAGCAGGATTGCTTTTGCTCACTTCAGAAAGGCCAAATCATACTCCAGGCTGCTTGTTCTTCTGGATGGCCGTTCCTAGGTATACATTGTTGGGAAGGGTGTAATATCGACAACAGCCCATACTGACAACAAACATTGCAGAATTTATGGCGGTAACTAAACAATAGTATCTCCAAATATTGTCTTTGGGTTCTAATGATATAGTCCTCATATCTTCTCTCAAGATTCAAGCCATGAAGGTCTGAAAAGCCATTGCTCACCCAGTTCTGAAACGCAGCTCAATCCCCATTCACAACAGGGCTTGTTGAGACGTTTGTTGTACCTCTCCGCCGCCTGCTTGGCCAGAATCCATGGCATCTCGTACGACGACGCCTCGTTTCCTCGCCCAAAACACAAAGATCCCTCTATTGGATAATTTGCTACTAGTTCTTAACTTAGATTCTCTTTCGTGGTTCCAACATTCTGTGGAGTCAAACAAACCTTAACTGAAATTTGCTGAGGCTATGCTGGTCCAAAATTTCAGCCTGCTGAAAGAGGATTCAGGAACCGCTCAGTAGTTCAGTTCGAATCAGCAATCAGATCAACTTCAGTGTATAACTACACAGACGGAGGTCTGTCACTCAACTCGCCCACAACATATTGTTAAATAGAAGTGGAGAATCGAGCCAAGATTGAAGTTCCCAAGGTTATGACGTGGGGAGGAGGCGGAGGATATTTAAACCAATTCGGGCAAGAAATTGACGAGATGCAAGCGGCTTTGCATCACTCGGCCAGGTTAGGAAATCCGGTGTCAACCCCTAGACTGTTCATATTCCGCTTTGGACATGATTTAGGCCTATCAGGGAACCTGATTACCAACATCGGAGTGGAAGCGATACCAAAAAGGACAAGGAGGCTTCGATTGGACTCTCTTGACATGAGTCTGTTCCAATCTGCGGCCCCCAACGATCTGATTTGGTTAGCGCTCTGACTTGCTGTTGCATCCGCCATCGAATGTCGCAGATATCAAAGTCTGGAGCAGCCTCGGTGTCATCTATGAGTAAACTCTGGCATTCCCGCGCTACAATGGATTTATCTTCTCTCCTTTCCCTTTTCTTCCCTTTCCTTTTTCGCTCCATCTCTTGGATTTTTGCGGCAGTTCGTCGTTGTTCGGTTATTCTTTTAAGTAAACATACGTCAAAGAGACATCTTAATGAATCCACATTGACGTAACTACCGGGGCATTTTTCCACTCCGCCCGAATAAACCCTTTTAATCTTTCTCTGCTGCTGCACCTAAAACTCTGTCCTTCATTTTTCATCAGCCGATGTGTGGAGCTTTTATAGTATTCCAGGACTGGGTAATTGAGCTTTAAAGCTTAGTTAATGCTCACGTTTCTATAATTACCGCGTCTACCAACATTGTGTCGTTTGGAGTGTGCCTTTGCATCATATCCACTTTCTATCATTCGCAGTCGATCTCATTATTCAATCTGCGATATCCCCACCTGGCGCCCCAGATTGCACCACTTGGATGGTCCCATATTCTGATCGTGCTGGGCGAATTCATATCCTACCTTTCTCATGGGTAGAGAAACGGCAATCTTCGAAGATGTCACGGCAACGCTCGACTACAGCGTTGGAGGTTGCATTTCGACTACACACCCAGCGCAGCCATTAGAACCCAGAAGCCATTTTCCTAAGTGTAAAACTCCCACGGAGGAATGTTCTTGTGGGTTAACAAGATGGCTAATAAACGAACAGCATCATGGGCCAATCCTGGCTACAACAAGGATGGAACACGAGGCGTGCCATTAACCGTTGCCCACCGGGGCTTCAAAGCCAAGTACCCCGAAAACACCATGTGCGCGTTTTCACATGCTGTCAAAGTTGGTGCGCAGGGCCTGGAGGCTGATATGCACATTTCAAAGGATGGTGTAGTTGTCATTTCTCACGTACGACTGAGGTTCCCTGCCCCCAATTAACCCCATGCTTCGCGGTTAGCACTCTGATAATTACCCAAGGACGCAACCCTACAACGATGCTATGGTGTTAGAAAACGAATTATCGATTGTGATTGGGAATATCTTAGCACTTTACGCACGATAAAACCACCCTTCGAACCCATGCCACGACTGCTCCACTTGTTGCAGTACATTGCTGTGCCAGAGCGTTCACATGTGTGGCTTTTGCTAGATATAAAAGTATACTCTGCTTTCATCTCCATTTTGTTTGCTGGTTTTTTCACGCAAAGGATGTTATATGAACGCCTTATTAATCGAGTGGAGCAGCTCGATAATGATCCTGAGACCATCATGCGTGCGATTGCCAAAGCAGTACTCTCCATTCCTTCTGTACATCGGCCGTGGAATGAGAGGATAATTCTTGGTTGCTGGGCGGTGAGTGTACCCCTGATAACCTATCAATTTCCATTTGCGTGCCTCTGCGGTGAAAATATTTGTTTTCTACCTACTTAGGACGGCGTAGGAAGCACAACTTTTGTAACCTGGCTGCAAGTGCGGGGTTTCTTCGCTGTGCATGATCTCTCCTGGAGGATTCATCATGTTTAAAAATACTAAGTTCTTTTCCTCCAGGCCAAATACCTTCCACTCTGCCATAAATATCTCCCGACATATCCTGTGGCTCTAATCACCTATTCACTACTCTATGCTCGAAAATTTCTCAAAGTCCCTAACATCTCTTTCAGCATCGAACTAAAAGCCCTAGTGGGTCCAGGGGGCGCAAAGTTCCTAGCCGACGTGAAGCACTCCCAGCGCCAAATATTCGTCTGGACGGTGAACGAAGAGTCGTTGATGCGATGGAGTGTAAGAAATGAAGTTGACGGCGTTATTACCGATAATCCAGAATTATCAAGGAAAATATCCGATGGATGTGAAGGGGATCGGCTTCACTACGGCGGATATATAAGCAGTTTCCATGACAGTGGTGATGACGGAATTACTGTTCTTCAACGTGTCAATGTGTTGGTGGCGGCTGTTATATTGTTTGTTCTGGGCGGCGTGTTTGCCATTATTCATCCGGTGGATCTGAAGGAATTCGCTGAGGAACCATATGAAGAGTATGACAGATGGGAGGAGCTGTGACTTTTTTTTTCCAGTCAACCTATTGCATATTCGGCGTTTTGAGAAAGTCATCGAATGATAGATTATTCTTTTGAACATCAATTTCTTATGTGTAAAGTCATATATGATTCAACGTGATGATATCAGACATGGGGGGTCGAGTATTGTTTAGTGCTCAGAGTAACATGACTGAGAAGAGCAGTCGTCTAAAAATATTCCATGTCACACACATCAAGGAAGTCAGCGTCAGATCGGGTAATTCGCTTACTAGGGAAGATGTTTGATTGATATATTAGAAAATTAGCCCAGCTTTCTAAAGTGAATCAATCCACAAGTATATAACAGGCAAATGCACACGCACGCATCTTCCCAACTCACCCTCACTTAAAGGCCACATCAAGTCAGAGAATTGTGTCGCTAGGCTATGCCACTGCCCGGTATCATCCGTGGCGTTTTGGGGGAAGAGGCCAATATTGGCCCATTATCCTGTCTCCCCATCCTTGATATCCTCCTTTCTTCCATTAAGGGCAACACGATTTCTGTCCTCACGCCGCCAGCACTTGGAAACGAGCCAAGTCCCTCTAACGGATCTTAGTTCACCTGCACGTGGACAGCGGCTCCATGGCCTCGAGGACGAGGAAGAGGAGAGGTCACTCTGGTCTGCTCAACCGCGGCAGAATCATGCAGCCTCGAGGTTGCCCTTCACCTGATGTACGGGGGTACCTGAACTCCACCGACGACGAGAGTAGTGGGACGTAGGGGGCTACTCAGTGCCCGTTCAAGAAGGAGGGAATTTTCCGATCCTGTGGTCCTTTTGAACGCTGGAACGGATATCAATATGGATTACAGAAGGTGCCTATCAGCACGGCACGGCATGACATTGCATTGTGGCGTGTAATCAACATGATGAGGTAATGGCTCCATAGGACAAGGGAGCTGGGAGGCATGCTAATTATGGGATTTGTTCAATGAAGACGGCGGGAGGAAGCAAGGGGGCATTGAAAGAGATCAGCCTCCTGGTACTGGTGGCTCTGGGCACTCTTTATTCATACAATAAGAAATAATAGACTAATAGCAGTAAATGGTAAAATATTGAAGATCCATTTCGTCCTTCAATGTGTCTCAGCAGTCAACAAGCATATATTGTGCTCTGATGAAGTGAACATCACATTTAGAATGCACGGCCCAAGGGATTTATTTAGAGAGGGATTTAGAGATTGATCAAGGCAAATATGAAACATCAATAAAGGCCAAGCAAGGGCAATGAGAATTTAAATAAGAGATTCAAAAAAGGTTGAGAGCCACAAGAGCGTAGTTAAGTCGACGGAGAGATAAGGTGGGGGGGGAGGGGGGAAAAAAAGAAGACTCGACTTGGAATTGATGAACCCGATGTGATTTGAACACATAACCTTCTGATCTGGAGTCAGACGCGCTACCGTTGCGCCACAGGTCCTCATCTGTTGGAAGAAACCCTGGCAGGGGTTGTTTTAGAGGTACACATGCAATGGAACCCAAGTTCACGTGACTAACCTACCCTAACTGGTTACAGAGAGACACCATCTCTGTGGAACAGCCCTGCTCAAAAGCACATGCCAGTTCCCGGCGAAAGGGTGGGTGGGCAAAGATGTTCTTCAGTCCGAGAAGAAATAGCCCATATGAAGAATATGAAAAGAAAATATGTTCGTTGACTATGGGAGAAACAACGGTGTGACCGGAGAGAACTCAAGAGACCATTCGAATATGATGTTGAAAGATCCGAAGAAGAACGATCTACGGGAATAAGGCCGGGGACATCAGATTTCCGCAATGGCATCATATAAACCGGGCATTTGGTTTTAAGCCAGGGAGCCCGTGCTTCCAGTTCGAAATGCAGTTCTCATCGTCTGTGGTGAGATATGGCTTACGCCACCAGCAGTTTACGCCACCAGCAGTTTTCGTAGGGCAGGTCGCCGCCATCCGATGAAGACATGCCGCAGTTTAGGAAAATAACATGTCAGGTTTGAGAGGAATATCTGCTGCGATGGTCGGGATTCCATATTTTGTTGTGCGGTGTCATCATCATCATCATCTCCTTCATCACCATCTGCTTCTTGTTCGTCATGATAGATAGGGATATTCGTCGGGTCCTGGTCGGGGTAAACCGTTCATTACGGTCTCCAATGCTGCCGTATTGCTGAAGCAAACCCCCTGGAGACAGTTTATACAGTCCATACTACCTTCCTGGTTCTGACAGAGCATGATGGAGGATGCGGTGGTTGTCGTCATTTCGAAGTTGCAATCATTTGGATCTGATTGGGCTATGGTTGCAAGGGAGACAGCATGTAGTTGAGTAAGACTGAGAATCTCTACGGGTGAAACGGCCATTGATGTAATGGTAGTAATCCTTTCGGAGCTCCTTAAATATTAATTGCAGCAAGCTCCTCCGTGTGCAGGTTGACAAAGCGGGAGCTCATTATCGGTGAGTTGGCTTTGCCGCCCATTTCCTTTCTGTTCGTTGCCAGCTGATATATTTAATTGAAGCCGTTGAGAATGGATGTTTGTTTACCTGGAATGAATGAGCAGGCTGCCATGACCAGGTGGGTAATAACAGCTATCAGGCAACAGCCTGCGCATGCAAATCAAGCATCCGTTTGTTAATCTTGGAAAATTGAAAAGATGTGCCTCTCCATCTCATCAATATCAGTAAAACATTAATTTTAAAACTTTCCTAGACTCGAATTTACCCGGAGTTGGATTCTGTATCTTTCAAATACACATTTCTTCAGCTAGTTATAGAATGATTGTAGTGAACAACAAGACATCAAGATGCTACGATCTGGAGAGGCTTAATTGGAGCCACTTTATCACCCCATCGGTTTTGATTAGCGAATGAGAGGGACATTTCTGAAACTGAAACTGGACCTCTATGCACATACCCTGCAAATTCCTGCACCCCTCAATCATTTCGAAGAGTTCGAAATCCCATTTTTGGTTTGTGAGTGCTGCATTTCTATATGCGCATAAAATTTCAAGCCAACCCCTCAAACTGTTCTATCATCCAGTCACGCACCAGTGTCCAGGAGAGTGAATCCTTAGGGAGGTGGGAACCAGCATCCTTTGGTTATTTCTGCCGCTCTCATATCATACCCTCCTCTGGTGTGTGCAGCCATTCCAAGGTTCCCTGCCCATGTGCATGACCTTCGTTTTCTCTTTCCCGTCTCAGGCTCTCGGAACCTCTAGGGGTTTTTTTTTTTTTGGCGGGAACTTTGAAGGAAAGAGATCAAATGAGATGACAGCTGACATGCCTAAAGTAAGAACGTGTATTTGTGTCCCTTTTCTTTCAGGGCTCGGAAGCAACCTTCTTCGGAGTCTGCTCTGTCCACGACCCACCTGGTAATATAAGTTTCCATCCACACCACGGGGGGGCAATTTCTTAACAGAGATTTCCCCATTCAGGATAGGATAAATTACGTTTCTCCAGACCAACCCGACCTGTTTGCCGAGTTGGGAGCTGGGAAACTGACTTAAGGAAATGTGAGGCGGAGTGTTCCTTGGCGATGGAATATCGGTTCACCGTGGCTACTCCGTTCTGTGTAGGCAGTAGTTCACATTCCTGGAATGGAGTAATTAGTTAGTTATCCATGGAATGCATACACACAGACCGAGCGAAGTGCATGCATAGTAGTAGTATGACAGCGCGGTGGAGTGCAGGGCCTTTTAACCGATTCGGGTGCACGTCTATGCATACTTAATTATCATACGGCGGATTGAGGAGGGAGAGTTTGAGGAGGAGAGTAAAAGGCTCGAGTCATGGTCCTCACTCGGTATAGGACAACATGGGCACATGGATCGGAATCGGATACTGAAACTGTTATTTTCGCCTCCATTCACATTATTTCCTCCCATGGTCTCAAATCACATGAAAACAACTCAGCTCCGTGATTGCGGCAATCGGGATGGGGTAAAACGGTTTCACACTTTTTGCATTAAAAATTTGAGCGGATGCCGAAGTTGCTAGCTGTGACAAAAGCGTATGTCGCACAGCAAGGTTGGAAAATGGTTGGTGAAACATGCCGCAAATGTGGTTCAGACAATTGGAGTGTCATATAGTGGGCGGGCGGACTCGATATATTTTTTGCCGCGCCAGTTTAGTCAACTATATCTAAACTGACATTACAAGGCGAGGTGTTCCCCCCATTTGAAGATGGTGACGGCAGGGGAACCTTGTGGAAGATGAAGATAGCAACTATTTCCAGGCTATCATCGCAATGATTAGTTTCCATTAAACCTAGGTAGTTTCCACAGAGGGTTATTTACTCAGCGATGTACACAATATTACCGCTGAACTCCAAAGAGCAGAGAAAAGCGCATTAAACAAGAATCGAAGGAGAAAGTAAAACTTTGTTCTGAAGCAGGGAATTGAACGGTATCACATCTCATAATGATGTCCCACGGTTTCGGTCCTCTTGTTTACCGGCTGCCCTTCTCCCGTTCCCGTCTATCCCGCGGAGCGACCAATTTTGAACCTCAAACAAGAACACCCCACTTCGAATCAGCCTTGTGGCTTGAATGTTCGTGTTTGCTGCCTTCTTTTTGTTTATTTTATTTTTTCTTTCTTTTCTTTGACTTTCAAGTTTTGGACGGATTGCGTAGGATCCAATCGAGACCTTCCGAGGCTCAGATCTATCCGTGCTTTCAGTAAAAATCTGTCGGATCCAGCAGGAAAACAAGGCCGATAACTCATCTCTTCAGCAAGAGGCGAAACAATTGAAGATGTTGTGTCCTCCTTACGGTGTTTTAGATTTTCAAGAAAAGCTGCTTCAGTGCTCAGACGCCCGGTGAATGCTGTGACGAAAACAAGAACACCACATCTCATCTTTGAGTCTCACTACGACTTATCGTGATCACTGGGTCCCGATCCAATCACAAGCTCGATCATTCCCGCCTCACACGGAGCAAAGATCAACGACGAAAAAGTCTGATCGACATTAGTTGGACCTTGGTGGACGGCGTGATTTGATCCGTTTTTTTTAAATTTTAATTTTGCTTTTCTTCTAGCGCTTTTCTCTTCTTCTGCGCCCACAGCGGGGGGTCGTCCTTCTCCAAGCCTATACTAGTGGACGTCCGTGGATTTTGGCGACAGAATGACTTGCAAACTGGACGTCGCAAAGAAGAGAGCTATTTTGCCGATTGCTAAGAACCCAAGAAAACTAAAACTCAACTAACTACAGACTATTTATTGTCGTTGACTGCGCTTCCGTGGTTGGATATCTCCGTCTTCATGTTGAATGGTTCGAAGGTAGCTTGGCGGTATAATTATTTTGTTGATCCTCGCGTTGGCTGATAAGGAAATATATAAACACAAAACACAACCTTGGGAAAAAAAAAAAAAAAAAAAAGGGGGGCACGCTGGGTAGTCTGCTGCTCACAGCACCATTCGTCAATAATGCACATGGGCTCATCCCAGCTCAGGGACCGTGCTGATGCTGAGGATGACCTGATGCAGGGAAGATCGGCTTGTGAGATGCCGATGTAACTCTCCTAGGACTGCGCAGGTAACCATATTTCCCGCACACACCACCTTCTCTTATGTTCGGAGGAGATGAAGTAGCAGTAGCATTTGTAGTCATGAGCATGGATGCAGCAGCAAAACAACGGGAGATTTCCAAGAACCCAGGGCGAGAACACTGAGATGTGACTTCTCAGGTTTCTCGTTCGACAGGCCCTTTATCGCAGAATAACTACTCAGGGGGTCAATAGGAGTTGGGCCAGGAATTCATCCCGAAATCCTTCCTTGGTGGAATGGAGCTTTTGCCCCTTAAAACGGCTAAGCGTGGAGCGTTCCTTGAGGCCAACGTCCTGCGACCCACGGCCTTGTGGCACCCAGCTAGGCCCGTTGAGATGTAGCGGCTCTCTGCAGCGAAACCAGGCACCGCCTGGCAGGGTTAGTTAGCCTCTTAACTATTAACTAACTTTTTGGTGGATGGATGAGGTAATTGGGATGTGGAGTAACTAGTTATGTATTACAGTCGTTAACTTCCTGGAGTGCGGCACATAAGGGGACGACAGCTTTAGGGGTAGGTTGAAGGTTGGTTGGGAGGAGATCCTCTAACTGGAACCTGTGGGGGAGGGTTTTGGAAGCTAAGAATGCTCTTAAAGGGGGTTTGGTTGGTACGGATGGTATTGCCATTACACCCGCACCCGTTATCAAGTGCTCTCTGGTGGTCATACAGCTTGTTGTTGGTCATCTTCCATTATTATTCTCATTATCATCATCATCCTCCTCATGTTCTTCATCCTCCTCAAATAACATCTATCCCACGTCACACAGAGACAACCGAAATGATATATAACTAATTCATACATGTGGACGTATTTGTCATAGTTCATTGTTAACTACCCCCTACATGAACTCTCTAACAGCAAAATCGGTCATCAACCTCCAGTCCAAGCAGCAAACAAGCTCTAAAATCCATTCTCTCCATTTCATTTCCTCAAGTCCTCCTAGATTTATCATTTCGCCTACTATTGTTGTCTGCCATACCCTCTGCTTCGTTAACTTTTCATATAGGCCCTTCTGGTCAAGAGCAAGCTGATTATTTGCCTCCTTTGTCTCAGCCCTTCAGTTGTTCAATCTAAATACCCACCACCTGAAAAGAACATCCACATCGCAGCGTGAACATCCCGAAGCCAGTGGGATATATCACTGCTTAAAACAAGGCATAGCTGGGATTTCGCAATTCTTGGGTCATATGAGTTATTCAGGATCCGTTAGCAATGGCGGCGGATCTGGATGCGGGCGAGGTATTGGCAGTGATCAAATGCTCCAAGTGCAATGCGAGCGTCGGGATATCTGAAATGGGTGATCATACGTGCTCCAGACCTTCGCAACAACGTATGTGTATCCTGCTATCATATCTGCCTATAGCCAATGCGCGTAGCGCTTCTCTGCGTGTTAATTGAGTGAATGCTGAACAGCTGTGCAGTTACTCCACCTCCAGACCAAGACAGTCATAACCCCTTTAGGGGCCCTACATATACCGCGGGCTTCAATCGCGAGGGCAAGTCGGGAAGACTTGGTCCGCCACCACGAATTAACCCTTTCGCAGCTAGTGAGTTCTTCACAACGGCAAATGCCTCAGGCCTCAACTTTCTGACTTTGATTAGACCATCATTTTAAACACAGAGATCTTCTCACCCCTGCCAACAGTGATGGCACCCCATCTCTCTCTCCCTTGCCTCTTAAACGCAGCCAAACAACTCCAATATCACCAGCGCCTGAACCCGCTAATGAAGATGACTCGTATACCTGTGTTCGATCACATACTGTAGCCGGGTCCGGCATGAGGTCGGGACCCGGGATCTGGACGCCTGCCACAGGTGGT